TATTTTTTTTTATGGTTTTTTTTTTTTTTTTTTTTTTTTTTTTTTTTTTTTTTTTTTTTTATTTTTTTAACGTAACATCAATGCGGTCTTTCATATCGAAGTGCCGCATCGATCAGCGCATATAGCGAGCATTGAAGTCTGCTGTGGTGCATTGTGCGGCGTGCGTGAGTGCGTTGCGTGCGTGCGTGCGGGCGTGCTGGTGCTGCGTGCGTGCGTGCGTCGCGTGAGCATCAGCCAGTGAGGGAGCGTGAATGCATGGTTGGACGCTATAGAGTAGACACATACATTATCATGTGTGACTGGTGGCTGCAGCATCCAGAGGCTGCTGTGTGTCGTAGCCGCGCGCGCGCGCGGGGTGTGTTTGTGGGTGTCTGTGCTGTGTGTGCCCTGTGTGTGCGCGCGCCGCGCCTGTTTTGTATGTGTGTCGTGTGTGCGCGCACGTGTGCGTATGTGTCGAGCGTGCTTTATCATAGCCATCTGACGCTCGCCTAATTACGCCAGATGTCTGTCTGCATGCGATGTGAACGTGTGTCTGTGTGTGTGCGTGTGTGTCACAGTGTGTGCGTGCGTGCGTGTGAGTGCGTATGCGCGTGCGTGCGGTGGGTCGTGTGTGTTCTGTGCATGCGTCCTGTGTTGGTGTGCGTGCGTGGGCGTGGTCGTCGCGTGCGTGCGTGTGAGATATGGCACGTGCGTGGTGTGGGCGCCCGTGTGCGTGATGTAAGTGTGGTCTTGTAAGTGGCACAGTACCATAGGGCTGGTTTGCGTTATACGGATCTGCTGGATTGAGAAGCTAGAAGATGATGCAAGATGACATACAGCACACACAACACCACATCTGGCATCCAGTGTAATTAACAGTAGCCACCGTGGCTAATGACTGTCACTCACAGGTACTTGGAACGTCTCAATAAACAAAACAAAAGGTAAATAAACACGAATACTACCATCTAAATGTTTCTCTAACTCCATTTCGCTATAATCACCTAGCGTAAGCGGGTCAAATGCTCATCTGCCAATCACCAAAGTACACCGCACGCTAGCTGCTGCCACGCTAGCGTGCGGCGGACAGCGTGTGCTGGTGTGACCAGTGTGTTCAGCATGAAGCATTTGGACGGCATTTACAGCAAATTGTCGGCATAATAGGTGAAGAGAGATAGAGAACATTAAACGTTTCGGTAGTAAATAGATTTCGTTTTGTTAGCTCATTCTGGACATAGTCGAGATGCAGTTGTTAGAATCAGCATGATCGTCCGTGCGTCCGCGTCCGTCCGTCCGTCCGTGCGTCCGTCCGGCACAGTGGGCACAATCTGTAACCGCTCGACGTACCGTCACGAACATATTCCGGGTCGTTGCTGGGGTAATTAGAAACGAGTGGATGTTCGAAGCTGTGGGTCAAAGGTAAAGGTCAACAGAGCTCGTGTAAAGAAGGGGAACATTCACTCTACACTTAACGGTCCATTCCAGGAGGAATGCAGATTGCCGGCACAAATCCTAACCGGTCGACCTAGGCTCGTATGTCGGTGTATAGCATCATGGTAGGAAAAGCCATCACTGTGCCGAATTGGAGGTCAGCAGGTCAGAGGTCAATGCGACAGGGCAGATTTTAGACGATTTTTCTGAGTGAGGGAATGTCTGACGGCAGCGATTGAAAATTGTTTCAGCCGGTCTGACTAGCATTTTTATGGACTTTATTGAAAGCGCACCCTGAAAATGTCCTTTTCTGCTTGACATGCGAAGAGTAAGGTCGGATAACCTTTGACCCTCAAGAGGAGGGTTAAACATGTGGTGTGTTGATTGTTAAACGCAAGGACAGTGAATGCTTTTGCTTTAGGAGCCCCTCCACCACCTTCCCCTCCCCGCCCGCTCCCACCTCCCACCTCCCCCCCTCCCCTAGCCTCCAGCTGCGATAGTCGGCGCTGTCCTAGAACAATGATGGTACGCAACTGCGTGTCCGCATATCTGCCCCTAAAATGTGTACTACGCACGACTGAAATTGACCGTTTCATAATCGTAGGCCAACAGACCTCAGATGAGCAGACGCTTTGCGGCTCTTGTTTAGCATTAATATTTTATTTGAACGCTCCAGCAGTGCCTGTGCCTCTCACTGATCTGATGATAGACAGGACTAAGAATCAAGTATTAGGCAATGATGTGTTGACACACATGGATGCACTGTTCAGGAGTAAGCAGTAATATTAGGACGGGAGTATGACCTCAAAACACGAGACAATTCAACATTTGCTTGCCTAATTTTACCGATGACTATATCTAACGCTGCATCGATAAAAATTAACTATTCTCAAATTAGCGTTGGGACATCCAGCCTCACACTCAAAACTTTACTTCTTTATTAATGGCAGATATACTTTGAACGTCACACATGGTTATAGCGTGTTTACTATGCTGGTGCCTTAGCTTGCCTGAGCTTCAAACAGTGGCTATCCCTGTGGGAATGAGTCTTGTCTGTGGACAAGGAATGCCACCTGTTGGCGGCAGGGTGAAGCTAAATGATAGGCATCCTTTTATATCCTATATTATATCATACACACTATTATATTATCTATATATATACAGTATATATATACACGACATACATACACGACTTATATATATACACACTATACTTATATTATCCTATCTTGATTATAATCCTATTTATCTTATCTGCCGCCAACACGCGTGGCATTTATGTCAACAGACCAAGGACCATTCCCTCCGGATAATCCCTGTATGACAAGCTCAGGCAAGCTGAGGCACAAGCATAGTAAAAACGCTATGAACCCATGTGTGACGTTCCAAACTAATCCTCCATAAAAGAAGGGTATGCGAAAACAAAGTAAAGAGTTTGAGTGTGAGGTGCAGTCCAACGTATTTCAGATGTAATTTTTATCGATTGCACGTATATATCATCGCGTAACATAGGCAAGCAAATGTTGAATTTCTCGTGTTCTGGAGTGTCATACTCCTCCTATATTATTTATCCTCCTTTCCTCGATGATGTTATCCATCTACTGTATAGTTTCATTTGCTATTACTACTCATAGTTTCTCAGACTTTAAACTTTACTTATGTGTGCGCACGTTTCACTATAGCTCACAAGAAGGCCAGCGTAACAACAGGGGAGTCGAGCGAGCGGTTCGCAGAGTGGATTCGTTTCGTTCTTAAGCTTGCTTTCTCAAATTCACGCATGATAATGGAGTTACGGTCGCGTTTTACACTTGAGGATAGGGACAGCTGTACGCTTGTGCGGTTTATTGTATAAAACTCGGGGCGGTATGTTAATAAACGCCAAGCCGCGAATATGCCGGATTATGAAGGTCACTGGCATTTCCAGACAACTATACAAATACCTGGGGTCGCTTTGTTGAAGAGTTTAGGTGCTTATCGAACGGGAGCAAAGAAGGCGTTTGTTATTTCAGATAGCTTTTTAATGACAGATCTTGCGTACGTTTTTGTAGTAACATTATTAACTGTGGCTCGGCTCGAATGCACGTGCGTTAATTGCGATACCTGCACATAGTTATAGATGCCTGTTGTTTATCGAGGAAATGCCGGTCGTTGCGAGACAGAGACCGTGTGCGTGCTGCTGCTGTGGCCCTATAACCTTCAACGCCACCACAGCATGCGTGTCCTAAGCCGTCGCCGTGATCTTTCAGGACTCTTAAGTCTTGTGGGTAAAACTTTTTGCGGGTTTGTGCGTCATTAGGGGGTGACTATGACAGGAAAATATCCGCCACATCTACAAGGTGGTCCAGCTTAACCATTGCGCCTTGCGTCCTTAACGTACGAGCGTGTTAGAAGCTCTTTACCCCTTAGCCCGACCACGCTGTGCGCGGATTGTTCTATACAGCTGGCACCTTCCATACAATCACCTCTGACCAGATCTAGGATGAATAACTCGTGTATATCTCAATAACACCTTATTCATTACACTTTGACTTGCCTTTGTTTGAAATAATGACGTTAACTGACCAGTTGTCCTGCTTCTAAACTCAGAATGTATACCTCTTCATTCATGGTTATAATCTGCTACATTCTACAGGCATATCAACTTTCAATCAGCTTTACTGCCGCCTATGTTTAGCGCAGGCACGCAAACTGAACGGAAAAGACTTCGCTAGAAAATACCTACAACGAAATAGTACATAGCTGCACGATGGCTCTCACGCAATACACACCAAGCAAGTGAAACGATGTTCACAAATGTCTGGGCAATTGTAAAAACTTACGTTGACAGCTTCTCGGATGTTAAGGGGTGGATTTTACATGAGGACAGACAGATCAGTTTATATTTCCTTAGAGTCTCGATCCATGGGCGATTTTATTCACAGTGGATGCTAGCAACATGGTGGCAAAATTCATATAATTTGCGTTGCATTCGTCTCAAAAAGTTGCTGTAACCCAGCGTAATACCAGCGACATTGTAGCGCACTGTATGGTAACAGAAGGTGAGATTATAATACTGATTAATTGGTTATATCATGTGAAGTGTTTTTTGGCGATCATTGGCAATATGACAATACGTGGTTTAGCTGCAGCCAATGTTGAAACGTATTCGTAAACCCTAGCAATACCGTTTTTCTCTGGAGTTTTAGTAATTTACACTGTGAAAAATCCCAGGCGTAATAATAAGGGGTCTCTATTCACTTAGCAGAGGGATGCCAACCATACGTTTATCTGTATTTTATACGAATTTGTTTGCATTTTGACCACTACGACCAGTTTGCATACAACTACGATTTTATTAATCGATCCAAGAACATTTTTAATGATATTTCAAGTGTTTTGTTTCGTGTTAACATTGATATAACATGATTGAAATACTACATGTGATTTAGCAGCAGAATATCCAGTGTGAACTTTATGGTCATTTTGCTCAGAAAAGTGTTGGCATCTCTGACTTAGTACTGAAAATACCGGTGTGCTGTTCTAGAGCCGTATGTGTAGTCTATGTCTGTGTGTTGTAGAGGTGGTGTTAACATACGTGCATGTGTACACAGGTTTGTACGTGGCTGAACACTTCAAACATGTGCCCACGGGTTTTTGCAATGCTCCGGTATAACGCCTTAGCATCTAAGTGGATTTCAAATTTATAATTGCACCTGGGGCGCGTGAGGGCATTGGCGGTTGGAACTGGAATGAAATTCGTTTAAAGGTACGTGACGTATATATATATATACACGGCATACTGCGTTGGAAATGTTGTAGTTTATACAGCGTCACTCATTATTGTGTACGTGAGATTAATTAGCAAACCAGTATTTTTTATCAACTAGCTAGTAATGATGATGACAGGAAAATCTGTGCACGCACGCACATTTATATACATTTCACTCAGTTTTTTTCCGAATGGCAACATTAGTTTATGTTTACAAAATCGGGTGTGCCTACACCAAAGTACAACGATCATATAAATAAATAAATAAATAAAAATAAATAAATATATACATATCAGGGTTCTCAAAGCTTTTAAATTATAGTATGGGGTGGTACACAGTGCTAGGGGGGTCCGGGGGCATGCCTCCCTCCCCGGAAAATTTTTGAATTGTAGAAGTAAGCTGTGTAAAAGTAAGTTGAATTGTAGAAAGCTCTGAGCTGCAATCTGGGACACTTTGTGTGTAAATTTGAAGCACTGCATGTGGGGTGAAAATGTTTGTTTTGCATGGGCAAAGCCATCGAAAAATTCAAAATAATTAATGGAATAAAAATACCAAAATGTAGGGGTGAACTTGCTGGTTTGCTGGTTCCAAATCGAGTTCATCTCTCATAAATAAATACAAAAAATGTTGTCACCATTGACAATGGCAGGAGTGGTCGGTAAGTGTACCAGTCTACTCTACCTCGTGTTAGACTGGGTTACCTGCCCCGTAATAATGCCATTGGAAATTCATTCACGATTTAATTCACGATTAAGATTTCTTGATGAGCTGGAAAACACTCGGATTTGAAGTATGAAAATGAACATTATTGTGCCAGCTGGCCTACAAATAAAATTAAAAACAAGCAAAATATTTAAAGCAAAAGGTTATACACCATAGATTAATTTTGGTATAGGGGGTAATATGGGATAGTGATAGGGATAGGGTGACTGTTTGTACTTGCCGTAGCATCGAGACCAACGTGTATTAATTAATTGTTTGAACTTCTCGTGTATACACCAGCATGGCGGGTGCATTTTAGGATGGCGTGGGGCTCGACGATAGCCTGGCGGGCCGCCAGGCTATAAGTGCCCTTGGAGAACCCTGACATATATATCAATATAACAAAGTTCCTCCAAGTATCGTGTCCATCTGTGTAAAGGTATGTACAGCCTACCAACCTGTGATTGGGCATCGAGTCTAGAGGTGAATTTGCGAGAAATGCCGAAGTGACGTTAGGAGAAGATTACCGTGGTCTGAAGAAAATGTGTCTGACAGCAGAAGCCTCGAGTATCAGTGTGCATCTTTACTTTGTTTGTTATTTGACTTGATTCTAGGGATAAACCGAGACGCGGTTTGAATATAGACTGACCCCATCAGTCCCTGTGGCTGAGCCCAGTAGGGCTCGTTTCCATTCTCGACGATGTACGGTGTCAGTCTAGCTCAAATCGTGAAAAGTGAAAGCTATCGAGCGGTGTTTAATTTTATAAGACGGTGCATGAACATTTCTAGACTGATTTCCTTGTCATTCGGGTTTACCGCTCTTTATGTTGTTACCAGGTGCTGAATTTACAGCGAGTTTTTTTCGTGAGGAGTAGCATATGGCAATGCGTTTTTTCCGTGTGTAGCTTTGTTCACAGAACGATCTCATGAAATATTAATGCGGCGTTGCAGATGCCACCTGCTTTGCATTTCTGCAAGTGATGCCAACAAAGGGTTGCCGCTTGTGATCGTAGAGGAAAGCTAATATAATCTTGATCTCTGTAATCTTCTCTCTCTTTCTGTTTCATCTCCTTCGCTCTCTTCGTGTCTTCTAGTATCTCTCTCCCACTCCCCTCT